TATATATATATATATATATATATATAAAAGCCTTGCCATGGAGATGATCCTGACTCAGAGTTACTCGACAGGACAGGGTAGAATTGCTCCCCACAGGGTTTCCCAAGCTGTCAATCTATAGGGGAGCAGACTGCTACATCTCTCCGCCTTAGACCCGGCTGGTGGCTTCCAACCACCAATATTTTGGTTAGCAGCCTAACTCTTAGTGCAGTCACTACCAAGCCTCCCTAATATATTAAAATACTCCTACAAGTCAGTAAAAGAACTAATATAAAAGTGGCCGAAAAACATAAATAAGCAGTTCACAAAACAAGCAAATAAAGGCTTATAAACATTTAAAAAGATAGGTAACCTTTATTCATACTTAACGACTTGTAAAGATAAACAAAAATGAGTTTGCATTTTTTCCTTAGTAGATTGGCAGAGAGCAAATACCATTCCTTAGGTTGTGGGTGAAAAGGCACTTTTGCTGAGAAGATAAGTCGATACTATTTTTGAGTTTGCATAACCTTTGACTCAGCAATTCCATTTTGGGGAATTTCACAAATCACCTCCATGTACACTAGTAGTGACTTAGTTTAACTAACCGGTCCATCTTATAGACTCATATACTGAATGAATCAGCTCTAAATGGCAGGGTTGCCGAGATCTGACCATCACTGTGTGGAGCATGAGCTCCGAGACACTGAAGAGAAGTGGGTGTGGGCCAGGCTCTGGATTCTGGTGTCTGGAGTTCGAACCAGTTGTTTCTCATGGTGGTGATTAAATTATTCTGACATTTCTTTGCTTTTTAGAAGCTGAAAATTAAATCTAAAAGTTTTATTAGATTTATTAGGTTAAACGTTTTTGGAAAGGATTCTTATGAGAGGATCCTACATACTTCATATTAAATTAAATCAGACCTAACACAATGCCCAGTTATCCTTCTGTTAATGATGCTTAGTTTGATGCCTGACTTATGGTGGTGATTGACAGACGGCTCTTTACAGGTAGACATTTTCTCTTTTTGATTAGCAAGTTAACTGTGAAATGATCTTTTGCATCATGCAAGTAAACGAAAAAATTTAGAACAATAGTTTGATACAATATTTGATGATATGTTGCTTAATGAATTTAATCTGGACCAAAATGTTTGAGTGTTGTTGTTTATGTTCTTTAATTCCATTACTCCATTGCTCTGCAGTTGATTCTGATTCATAGTGCCCCTATTAGTTACTACTTAATTAATAAGCAAGATCATGGCTATAAATCCACGCATTTATGTTGTATTTATTAGGTGAATATTGCAGTTTAGGAGTAATTTTATTATGTGACATGCTTTTCCATTTGTATAAATCTAAAATAATCTTCCTGACTCCTTAATGCAGTAACTAAATTTCTAGGAAGTTGAATCCATTATAAAAAGACTGCTTGGAAGCCTTTGATTAATTAGATCCATTTTATTTTTATAGTTGAGTACAATAAGAAGGAGCAAAGAATACATTGTCATTTTGGAGGCAAATCAAATATATTTCTTTTACCCTAAACTTTCAGGCCTTTTTCCTTTTTGGGTGTCTGGCAGCAGAGTAATTGTGCACTGATTAGAAGATTCAAAGTTGAAGAATCTAACTCATGCAAGTGAAGATGTTGCCACATGGAAAGCTCAGCAACTTACAACAGAGTTAATTGTAATTCTTTCATTTTAGAACATTTGATAAATTAGCAGCTCCCCCTTCTTTAATGCTCCCATTTTTTCCCAATTCATAATAATTGTATACCGTGAGATTCACTGATCTTAAGTGCTGTAGTTCCATGAGATTTGCTGTATGGCCTGCACCTGGATAACTCCCAGTCCTGCAGAACATTTTCCTCAACACAAATCCCTGATGCGCATCTCTGTCAATCCCTCACCTTTCAACAATTGTTCCAGTTTCTTTCACTGTAGTCTAGCTTTGTTGATTGCACATATTCTTAATCTTTCTTATTAAAATCTTCCTGTTTTGAGGATGGGTTTAGCATTGAGCAGTAAGTGCATATTATATTTTACAGCTTAACGTTGAGAGACGAAAGGAGATGCAACAGGAAAAGCAGAAAGCACTTGATGTAGAAGCAAGAAAGCAGGTGAATAGGAAGAAAGCTTTATTGACTCGTGTCCAGGAGATTCTTGAAAATGTCCAGGTGTGTCATTTAAGCTCTTTTAATTGTAATTTTAAAAATTATAAGAATGTTGTCTTAAGTATTGATAGTACCTGCAGAGTATATTTGTACTAGTTAATTACCAGTACGTTTTACTGGTAAGTTTGAAAGCTTCATAATTTGTGATATTTCAGTTACTCCAAAGAAAATTCACTTGCTTGTTAGTAACACAGAGTACTTGAATCAGAGGGTGTTTAGACAATGGAGACTTGCACTGAATACAATCGCTTATTGTCTGCGTCTTCTGACTCTACAAACATTGAATTTGTGGTCACAAAATGGTGGAATTGACCATTGTAATTTATCCCTAAACTAATCAGATTATGGACTAAATGACCTTATTCTCATTTTCAGTAAAAAACTGCCCCCATGTTTTGTTTTGTTTAATGACGATTACACTCTTAGATGAACAAATGCAATTTAGATTAGACAAATAGGATTCCCTAGATGCAAATGTAAATCATTCAAGCAGACCTATACCTTTTGCAATTATGTTTGCTTAGCCTAATTTAAATTTATATAAACAATTTCAAGGTCTGGATCATTTTATACTAAAAAGAAAAATGAATTAATTCAATTGAACAAATAATTTCTACTATTACCTATTGTACTGTTTTGCTAGTTGCATATTTTCTTTTGTTCATAATCTTAGAGACTTGTGACTTATCTGATTTATACCAGGTAACACATGTGTAATGAACCTTAGGATATTTCTTACTGCCTTCCATTTTTCAGTGTTGTAGGGAATAATTTTATTTTGTAAAATTTAATTACTATCCATATTAAAAATTTAAAATATCTAACACAGAGCTCTAATTACAGCAAATCTATCCCATTATTGAAATAAAAATGGCATATCTTTATCTTTTTGAGGAAGCTAAGAAGTCTTCAACTACCGTATATACTTGTGGATAAGCCGAATTTTCCAGCACATTTTTAATGCAGTTTTTGTGGTAAAATTAGGTGCCTCAACTGATATTCGGGTTGGCTTATACTCAAGTATATACGATAATAAAATTATTGTTGAGAACAAGGGGAGTACAGAGTGGAGACCTAAAGCCCATCTGTAGACAATGGGACATCTGTCACAGAAAGGTCACAAGGAAGGGATGAGTCAACCAGGGCACCACATAGCACCGATGAAACACACAATATTCCTCTGGTTCCTTGAGGCTTTCTCACCCCCCACTATCATTACCTCAGTCCTGCCTTTGTCTCCGGGTTAGACTAGAGCATGTTCACAGGTACAGATAAGAGTTCATGACACACGGAATCCAGGTCAGATAGGGGAGTAGGGATACCAGGAGAGTAGGGGAAAGGTGGGGAAGGAGGGGAGGAAGGGGGAACCGTTAGCAATGATGGACACATAACCACCCCCACCCCCACCCCCGGGGATGAACAACAGAAACTGTGGGGGAAGGGAGACAGCAGTGTAAAATATGAAAATAATAATAATAACATAATTTATCATGGAGTCACAAGGGTGGGAGGGAGGGAAAAAAGAGTAGCTGATACCAAGGTCTCAAATAAAAAGTAAATGTTTAGAATATAATGATGGCAACATATGTACAAATACGCTTGATACAATTGATGTATGGATTGTTATAAGAGTTGTAAGACCCCCCAATGAAATGATTTTTTTAATTAAATACTTTTACCGGGGGCTCTTACATCTTTTATCACAATTCATACATTCATCCATTGTGTCAAGCACGTTTGTACATATGTTGCCATCATCATTTTCAAAGTATTTTCTTTCTCTTGAACCCTTGGTATCAGCTCCTCATTACCCCCCTTCCCCGTCCTCCCTCCCTCATGGACCCTTGATAAGTTATAGATTATTATTTTCATATCTTACATCATCCTCTGTCATCCTTCACCCACTTTTCTATTGTTCGTCTCCCTGGGAGGGGATTATATGTCAATCCTTGTGATCAATACCCCCTTGCTCTCCCCACCTTCCCCTTATCCTCCTGGTATCTCTATGCTCCTTTTTAGTCCCGAGGGGTTTATCTATCCTGGATTCCCTGTGTTGTGGGCTCTTATTGGTAGCAATATGCATGTTCTGGTCCAATCTGATTTGTAAAGTAGAATTGCGGTCATGATAGTTGAGGGTGGGGATTGGGGGAGGAAGCATTAGAAAAAATTTTATTATTGAGCCTGAGAATTTACAATGTTAAAATGATGACTTAATTATAAAGATAGAAAAATTTTATGTAATGTAAATAGCTTTCTAACTAAGGTGTTTTACATCTAAAACCTGTGACTGTACTGAAAAAAAATAAAAAATAAAACCTGTGACTGTGATAAATTTAAAAAAATACTCATAACTAACGGCATATTTTAGTGATATATAAAAATTATAGCTGCTCAATATAAAAAATGTAAAATATTTTAAGTTAAAGAATGATTTTTTTTCCCTAGACCTATGAACATGTTCAGGGGTTTCATGAATGTGTTTTTGTTTGGTTTATTTTAGTCCGGAGGTAGTGACTAAGCTGTTCACCTTGTTGTATGTTTACCGAGTAGCACCTGGAAACCATTATATGACTTGGGATTTGAAAAGTGAAACAGGCGAGCCATATATAGCCTAGGGGAGGGGGTGGGGGTGGGGTGGGCACATGTATCGAAAACAGCATACAAATATTTTAATGTTTAGGATTCAAGAGCCTATGACAGTATTTTTATTTAATGAGTGATCTTCACCAGTTTACTGTATGCTTGCTCATATTTAGAAACCCTCATAGTTTACTCTTTTTTTCTTTTGCGCAGTCAGGTTAACAAATGTAATTTTGTGTCTTTTGTGTACGTAGCTTTTCTCAGTTTAATTTTTCCTGTTTTGGTTATCCCAAAACTACATCGGCAGGTTGTTGTTTTTAACTATCAATTAGTGTAATTGAATTTTCTGGTAATTAATTTGTTTTTAAGTTGAATTAAAAAAATTCTAAGTAACTTAAGCTGTATATTTGAGCAATCATCCACTATCATTATAATTTGCCTCATTTCATAGAGAGATTTTAGCTAAGATTTGGAGTAGGCATCAGTGGAGGTGAGGTCTTATTAATTATTTTTGCTAAACTAATATCCTGATCATTTATGTAAGATATTTAATTAATTGTTATTTAACTCTTAGCATTGCATCCTAACCATGGTGACTTTAATAATATACAACTAGAATAAATGCTTTTATCCTTAAATGGTACATATTTCCATATGTATATATATATATGTTTATGTATGATTGAGACCTCCAAAATGTTGGTGGAAAAATCCTATGATCTTTTAATTCCATTTTTCCATGAGCTTTTGAAAAAACCTCTTGTGTATATGTTTGTTTTTCTTTATTTATACACATAAATTCACATGCATATACATCCCCCCAAAACAAAAACCCACTACCACTGAATCAATTCTGACTCCCTGCAACCCCAGAGGAAAATATAAAACAGCTTCTTAGAGTTCCTTAAAATGTCAATCTGAGTTAGCGCCCAAACACTTAACCCAATGTGCCACCAAATATGTACCAATAAATGCATTCACGTGCATTTATTGGTACATATTTGTATCAAGTTAGATAAGTTCTTTTTTTTCTGTTGCTTTTCTTTAACAGACTGACACGTGTGATTACTGTTTCAGCCCTGTGTGAAATAAAATACCATTGGATACAGGTCATCTTAGTTTATTTATTTATTTATTTTTAAATATCAGGACACTGAATCTTCAATTTCAGTTCTGTTTTTAGAATATAATGAAATCAAAGACTTTTTGGTTGTATGAGGGAATGTTAATTTCTAAATGTTCTTTTTCAGGTTAGAAAAGCACCGAATGCCAGTGATTTTGATCAGTGGGAGTCAGACACTGTTTACTTTAATTCCGAAACACACGTGACTGTTCCTGCTACACTTCCAAACAGCCCTCCTGAACACTCTACTTCAGCAAATCTTCAAAAAATAACTGGGATTTTGCCTTTGGGTAATGAGGACCAATTTAAATCAAATGGAGTAGACTTAGCTAGTGACTCAGAAGAATTTAGCTCTCTAAAGCAATGTGATGGTTCAGATATTAGCCACGTAAAAAATGAAGCTTCTCCAAAGATCTCACAAGAGACGCTATTTTCTGATAGTCATGTCCCCAAAAATGAAGAACAAGATACATCACTTTTGGAAGAAGTCACTCCTGATCCCTATATAATGAGTCTTCAAAACCTGATGAAAAAATCAAAAGATTATATAGAAAGAGAACAATCCAGACGCAGTCTGGGAAGCAGCACAAAGAGGAGTCTTAATGAGAGTCATTCAGACAAAGAGAATGATGCTGTTAAAGTGACTGACTCTGTAAAGGAGAAAGCCCAGTTGACAGGCAAAAACTCAGTCATTCCCGACAAACCAAGCCTTAACAAGTCAAATGTTCTTCTCCAAGGTGCTTCCACTCAAGCAAGCAGCACAAATTCATCTGTTCTAGGGAGCTTTTCTAAAGTAGATATAACTATACAAGCTGGCCATCCAACTGTTTTAGATTCTGACTCTGCTTTTAAAGTGATTTCCACTCTTGTTCCTGAAAATAATGTTAACAAAAGTCTTACTGGTTCATATGCCAAATTACCTAGTCCTGAGCCAAGTATGAGTCCTAAAATGCATCGAAGACGTTCTAGGCCATCATCAGCCTGTCACATACTCATAAATAACCCAATAAATGCCTGTGAATTAAGCCCTAAAGGAAAAGTGCAGGCAGTGGATTTAATCATTCAAGATACTGATGAGAAAGCAAACATACCAAAAACCATGCCAAAGTTACCACTGGATGTGGCTGAAGGTTGTCCAAGCAAAGTTTATGACAGCAGAAATATGTCTCAAACCGTGGAAGAAACGGCTTTAAGTAAATCAAATCAGGTATGTCCATCTTCAGGAAACCAACTAGTAACTAAAATTCCTCATGGACTTGATGCTGAGGAAGGTCAGGTAACATCTGATGGGAGAGGACCACACACAGTGGATGCTACCGCAGTGCCGAGATTGCATGAACCATGTGGCCCCAGTCAATGTGTAGTGAGCCACAACTTTGAGACCGTGAGTGGACTTAAGTCAGCCAGTGTGCTACAGAAAAATGACAGCTCCCAGATGGAACTGAATAAGTCTTATGATGTAAAGAACCCATCTCCTTTACTGATGCAAAACCAGAACAGTAGACAAGAGATGGGCACACCCAGGGTGTCCTATGGAAATGAAGAGCTTTTGGAAAACAGTCTTGAGAAAGTTAAGCGGAAACTAGATTTAGAGATTGACAGTTTGCAGAAAGAAAACTACCCCTATGGTACAACTGGAATAGCTGACCAGGAAAGGCAACCTTTGTTAGAGAAAAGATACCCGAAGGCCTCTGTCTGCGTTAACAAGAATAAAATGTTAGAAAGTAGTTCAAAAGGTAAGGAAACCTTGAATCATTTGATGCCTGTAAAGCAGATGGTACCTTTAATACTTTGGCATTTTACCAAAAAAAAAACAACCCCAGTTGCTTTCTTTTGTTCATCAGGGTACTTAGTCTCCTTTATGTTACTAGAGAGTATAGTTAAAAACCCCACAATACCATAGCCATTTTCATGGAGTCAATGCTGACTCATAGAAACCCTACAGAGTAGAACTCTGTCCCATAGGCTTTCCAAGGCAGTAAATCTACGAAGCCGACTTTTGAAGAGTGGCTGTGCTGATAGGTTCAAACTACCAACCTTTTAGTTAGCATCCATGCACTTAATTAACCACTATAGCATTTATTGCCATTTGATATGTGTGTTAGTCTGGGTAGACTAGAAAAACAAATTCATGGAGACAATCATGTATAAGAAAGAGTTTTATATACAAGAGGAATTGAACATTGAGAAAACATCCCAGCCCAGTCCAGATCAAGTCCATAAGTCCGATGTTAACCCATATGTCCGTTACCAATCTATAAAGTCTTCTGACTCACGAAACACATGCAATGATGCACAATGCAGGATGATCGCAGGGTCAGTGGGTAGAAAGTCTCTGGATTCAGTGGCATTGTAAGCATCTCAGTGCTGGCAGGGGTCTTCACGTGGCTTCTCCAGGACCCAGGGCACCGGGTCTGCCAGCGTAGTGCCATGTGTCTTGTCAGTAGAGCATCTCCAAGGAAGTAAGCAAAGAGTCTCTCCCACTTTCAAGGAGATAAAAACAATTCTCAGGAGAAATCCATGGCCACACAGAGGCCTCATTGGCTATGATCTGATTGACAGACTAGACTCAACCCCTATCCTCAGATTGACAAATGATTATATAACTACCACAATGTTTTCTTTAATGACCTTTGTTATGTAAATTATGAAGTCTTTATAGTCTATTTGGTATTTTAGAGGAAATAATCGATAAACTTTGGGGAAAGTTCTTGCAGGAAACGACACATCATTTTAATCTGCCAGACCATTATGATTGGCATTTATTGTTGTTTCATTTAGAATGAGCACTTCATGTCACTGGACGTTCAGCAAGCACTTTTCAAATTATTAGAGAAAATATCACAAATGATGTTCCTGTTGCATCTAGTGTTACATTAATAGTATTTTGTTAAAACATTGCCTTTCTCCATTTTACTTTGCTTTGTTTCATGTTTAATAATATTTCATCCCTGATAGGAAAACATAACCAGGTAACTTAAGTTCTTAGACACAGACCAGTGGTTCTCAACCTTCCTAATGCCACGACCCTTTAATACAGTTCCTCATGTTGTGGTGACCCCATCGCCCCAACCATAAAATTATTTTCATTGTTACTTCATAACTCTAATTTTGCTAGTTATGAATTGGGCGACCCCTGTGAAATGGACATTCGACTCCCAGATTGAGAACTGCTGGGTTAGACATTTCAGTGTATCATCCTGAAAAGTCCTGTGTTCAATAAAGTTACACACTTTATATATCATAGGATTATGGGGAAAATAGGGTTTGGGGAGACAGCTTGCGCCCCACACAACAGTATAAGAGTGCTATTAGAAACAGTTGGTATCTGGGGAGCCACCTTGGATCCTCCAAGTCGGTAACATAGGGTGGTGACTTCAGAAGACCCCAGCCACTGTGTGGCCGTTCTGTCAGTACTTCCCGAAGAGCAGGGCCAGTGGATGTGAAGATGCTGAGGAAGCCAATCATGGAGCCAGCTGGGCATCTGAGACAGCATTCAAGGGATGCAGTGTGGGATGCTGAGAGCTGCCCACAGCTAGAGTGCACCTCCTGAGGGAGAGAGCCCCAGGAGAGGTACTCGATTTGTAAAGTTTGGAAGATAGAGCAGAATGGACGCCTGCTTCCAGTTCCTTGGTTGAGCTGAGAGGCTTTCAGTTGTAAAGAATTACAAGTCTGCTTTTGTGGCTCCACTTGCCTATGAAAAATTCTATATGACAAATGAAGATTATTGTAGCCGAATAAAATATATTTAGTAAAGCATTAGGGGAAGACCAAAGAAGTAGGACAATGTTGTTATTGTTGGGTGCTGTTGAGTTGATCCCGATGCCTAGCAACCCTATAAAACAGTAGCATTGACCCATAGGGTTTTCAAGGCTGTGATCCTTAATGGTAGTGCAGTGGATTAAGTGTTGGGATATTAAGGATTCGTACCTTCCAGTGGCTCTGGGAGAGAAAGATGAGACAGTCTGCTTCCAAAAAAGATTATTGTTAGGTGCCATCAAATCAATCCTAACCCAACGCAACCATGTGCACAACAGAAGGAAACCCTGGTCCTGGTCCTGCACCAACTTCACAGTTGTTTCTAGGTCTGGGCCCATGGTTGTAGCCACTGTGTCAAGCCCACTCTTTGAAGACCTTCCTCTTTTTCACTGCCCATCTACCTTCCTGGGCATGTTCTCTGGGACTAGTCTCTCCTGACACATGTCCAGAGTATATAAGATGAAGTCCCACTAGTCTTGCCTCGATGGGGCACTCTGGCCATACTTCTTCCAAGACCTATTTGCTTATCCTCCTGGCAATCCATGGTACTTCGTCATGGCAATATTCATTGCCAGCACCACACGTCAAATGCATTGGTTCTTCAGTCTTCCTTACTCAATGTCCAACTTTCACAGCATATGAGGCAATTGAAACTACCATGGGATTTGCTCCTGGAGTGGGGAAAGGTGGGTGCTGATGTGAGAAGAGCAGCAACACAAGAATGTAGTTAAATGCGGGACCATTTATGTCTTGATTAACGTGATGTCAAATCAGAACATACTTTAATCAGAAGCATATTTTAAAGTGAGCATTATAGTAAGTTTTTTAAATTTGAGAGGACATGTTTCTTTTCAGAAGGCGAGGAGATCTTAAAAAGCAAAATGCTAGCTTTTGAAGAAATGCGGAAGCGACTGGAAGAGCAGCATGCCCAGCAGTTATCACTACTGATAGCTGAGCAGGAGAGGGAACAGGAAAGACTGCAGAAGGTGAGGAATGAAATGCAGGGCTTTGGAGCTGGAACGTGAAACAGCGGGGGCCACTTGTGGACCTTGGTCAAGCGTAAGACATCTGTGCTTTTCAGCCCTGCATATCTGAATGAAAGGTGGCTGGGGTTTTGGGGTTTTTTTTGAGGCCCCTGATTTTGATGCATGTCTAATATTTTTTACTGCCAGTGTGTGAGGTTTGTTATTTAGATCTTGATCTAAAAGTAATTGTGTAATTAAATCCATGATTCAAAACTTAATAATTTAAAATGAACTTTTATAAGTAGATCCCAAAATACACCTTCCACAAGAGCTATATCCTGAGAAAAAGGACACTTGTTTTAAGATTATTATACTTAGTGTTTTATATTTTAGATACAATTTAATTACCATATATACTTGAGTATAAGCTGACCAGAATATCAGCCAAGGCACCTAATTTTACCACAAAAACTGCATTAAATATGTCCCGAGAAACTCGGGTTATACACGAGTATATACGGTATCTTAATTTGAGGGAAGAAAAACTAAACATTTGATAATGCACAGATTTAGGGGATGTAATTGAACTGAAAATCTTACGTGTTAAACTGTTAATCTTCAGGAAATAGAAGAACAGGCGAACATGTTAAAAGAGAAGAAGGCAGTTAGAACAGCAGGCTCGGAATTGGACGGTAACACTGCGGTGGAGGTAGAATGGAGACAAATAAGTGATTCTGGCTTGCTTGATACGATGCTGTCTCAAGTGGATTCATTCCATACTACAAATAATTCTGGTAATTTTAGGATAATGTGGGGGGCATACTTTAAAACTGTAGCTGCTTTCCTTAAGGAATTCCGTGTTTAGCCCACTGCTCTCTGGCAGCAGCTTATTAGTCAATGAAAACTGATGGCCGCGGCTCAGAGATCAGTGAGTGAGCAGGTGTTCATGAGAAAAGACCCCTCAGTAAAGACAATGGCAGAAATTGGGCTCAGAAGCCACTCTTTGTTTATCTGTGTAGCAGGAGACATGCTTCAAGTGAAAACACAGTTTGCCACCTACCTCCCCAGTGATCTTGAGTTACATGTAATCCCCATTCTCTGTAAGGGCTTATATTCACACCTTCAATGATCTTAAGATGCTGTTTGAGTGAAAAGAGCCATCTGGTACATAAGCTTAAAGTCCATAAATATTTGAAGTCTGCATGTGGATCAGTTTCAGGGACAGCTGTTCTTCTTAAGGTGTGTCACAAGTGCTTGTTTGAATTTTCTGTATAATCTGCCTATAAGACATCAAGTATAATGCGTATTTATATGTATATTTTTCTAGCTTTCACAAATTCAACCCTACAACATAGCTTTAGTTCTGCAAGTGAATCGTCATTCTACCTCTGGGGATCATCAAGTAGCGGTTTGACTAAAATCTCCGTAATAAGACCCTTTGGAAGGGCCAAAACTAGATGGTCTCAGGTAGGCAAATTTAATTATGCGTACATAATTATACTGTGTTCAAATTGTATGTATTTCTGTAGAGTGATACCATCTGAGGTTGTATAAATGAGCATGTGTATTTTTGTTTATACAAATAGCTTTTATTCAAGATCGCACTACATAGAATATACAAATAGAACTTTAGTTACTAGTTTTTGTTATTTCTAGTTAGTAATTTAGTTAGTTGACTATAATAATTAAGAAAACCAGTCTCTAGTCTAATGCTAGTAGAGCCTTGATAGTGTAGTGGTAATTGGTGGGCTGCTAACCACACAGTTAGCAGTTCAAAACCACCAATTGTTCTGTGGGAGAAAGATGAGGCTTTCTACTCCCATAAGGGCCATTCTCCTCTCTTCTGTAGGGTCACTATGAATTGGAATTGGCTTAATGACAGTGAGTCTGGTGAGGATTTGAGTCTAATGCATAGGTTCTTTAAAAAAAATTATTTTCTCCCTCTTAGGTTTTCAGTGCAGAAGTACAAGCAAAATTCAACAAAGTAAGTGCAGTGGCAAAAGGATACCTGACTCGAAGGCTCATGCAGACAGAGCGGCTGAAGCAACTTCGACAAACTGTAAAAGTATGGTCATTGTGACATTTGAACTGATAGAATAGCTCAAAACCTAGTAAAACAGGCAGTTTTAGAAGACTAATCATCCTCTTCCCATAATGTAAATAATATGTAAATGAAATAGTTTGTATATTCTGAATTTTTTGGCCTCAATCAAGTGAGTGTTGTTTGAATTCTTAGTAGTTTTTTTAGTTTATTTTTAACAGTTTCACTGATATACAGTACACATACCATACATTTCACTACTTCACTCACATTCATAAGAGTTGTGCAGCTATCACCACTATCAGTGCCAGGATATTTCTTCTTCCTGTGCTCATTGTGTGAGCTCTCCATTTCCTGCCCACCTCCCCCACACTGTCCCTTTGCCTTACCTCTCCTGAGTCTCCTTTACAGAAATACATACAAAACCAAACCAAAACACATACAGATGGCCCAACCACAACCACAGAACGAAACAGCAAAATCTTAATCACAAACAAAAATTTTAAAAAAGAAAACAAAGTAGACAAATTAAAAACTGGAACAGTTACACATTGGATCACTGACAGAGGTCCCATTTGGACCTAACTACAATGTCTTCTATGTGGTTCGTATGGCAGCCTAGAGGACTGTAACAAACAGCAAGTTTTATGCTTTGCTAACGCGAGTAGAACACGGTAAGCAACTTTGAAAAACACTGCAGAAGTTGCTTAAAAAGTCAAATGTATGCCCGCCAGGTATTTACTGACTAGAAAAGACAGCATGTGTTCACTTGAAGACTTGTACACAGTGTTCATATGAATTTTACTTGTAATAACTCAAAGCTAGAAACAATCCAAATGTGTAACAGGGGTATGGACAAATTGTCACATATCCGTGCAATGAATAGAGTTCATCGATAAAAAGAATGAACTACAGATACACACAGCAAAATGAATGAATCTCAACATATTCTTAGGGTTCTTAGTAACTTGTGTTCTTTGCAATTTTTTAATAAACTTTTTACTGTAATGTGGGTGTAAGTTTACAGAGCAGATTGGTTTTCCATTCAGCAATTTACACCCATTTAGTTTGGGAACTTTGATGGTAATCCGCACAATGTAATAACTCTTTCCACTCTCTGATTTACCATTTCCATTCACCCTTCTTTTCTGTCCCTTCTTGTCTTCTGAGCTTTATCCTTGGGCAAATGTTGTACTCTTGATCTCATGGTTGATTGTTCTAAGGAGTGTGTTATTATTGATTTATACTCTGTTGTTATTATTGACTTGTATTCTTGTCTATTGGGGGACTAGAAGTGCAGCCAGTGGCGAGAATAGTACCAGGATAGAAGGGTGTCTTAGAGGTTTTATCAGTTTGTCATTATAGTAAGCCTGTTTGTTTTGTTTTGATTAGGGTTTTGTTGCATAGCTCTTTCTTACTGTAACCAGGACCTTCTATTGTGATTTCTTTCAGAGTAGTTGGTAGTGGTAGCTGGGCACCCTCTAGTTCTTCTGATTTCAAGATTATGGAAACGAAGGTTTGGGTGGTCCCTTCGTCCATTGATCCATTAGTCTTCTTTGCTCCAAATGCAGAGAGAGACCAATAGCTGCACCTTAGGAGGCTGCTCATGAACTTTTAATCCCAGCAGCTACTTACCAAAGTAGGATGCATAAAACTGTCTTTGTTGACTACATTGCCTTTTGATCTCAGTGTCCCCTAAGACTATGGTCTTGAGCCCCTAGGTCCAGTGACTCATTCCTCTAAGGTATTTGGTTATGGCGAAGAAGTTTTCCTAATCTTGTCCCCTGTATGCTCTACTATATTCGTGGATATATTTTTACAGTATGTGTATGGGGGACTTCAAAAAGTTTGTGGAAATTTTCCATTATCTTTTAATTCCATTTTATGGGATCCCATGAACTTCCGAAGCTCCCTTGCAAATACATATGAGGACAGATCCTGTCAAGCCTGTGTAATCGTTGCTGTGGTCCCATCCACTTTCCCACCCCTGTTCAGCTTTAGTGTCGCTCTGTATCCACTCATCAATTATTGTTATGGCAGTTTCTGAAGGATTGGGTAGGAAGTAGAATTTACCTTTATTGCCTCAGATTCTGTGCTGCATCTGGTTTTCCTTTGCTTTGATCATTTTGTGCCGCCCCTTGCGCCTTTTGTATACTACCTACCCTTTCATCCAAGTTAACAAACATGAATCTTCTAGTTCGTGAATTTTCCTTCCTTGCATCTCTCACCTAAAGAGTGTTGCTCTCTCTGCTTTTAAACCTTTTCTTGATTTTTAAAAATAATAGTGGCCTCATACAATATTTGCCCTTTTGTGATTGATTTCATGCTGCAGAGTATCCTCTTGGTTTATCATGTTTTGAAGTATTGTTTCAGAGTCAGCATTCTTCTTCCTGCTGTGTAGTAGTCCATCAAACCGTAGTTTGTCCTTTCATCTGCTGATGGGCATTTGTGTTGTTTCCATCGTTTTGCTATTGTACTGTTGCACTGAACAAGGGTATACTTGTCATGTCACGGCCCCTAGACCTAGTATTGGGATTTCTGGATCTATGTGGTATTTCTAGTCCCAAGTTTTAGTAGCTGAACCCTTTTACAGCCCCCCAGCAGTATATGAGGGTTGTTTTTAAACTTTGTCATTAATGCTGGGGTGGGATTCACTCTCATCATTGTTTTGTGTCTCTGGTGACTGATGATTGAGGGCATTTCTTCATGTGTTTGTTTGCTGCTTGGATGTCTTCAATGGGGAAGTGTCTGTTCATGTCCTTTGCCCACTTTTAAAATTGGATTGTTTTATTTATTTTTAATCATTGTGGGGTTAATGGGAAGAGGGAACCCCACAAAACATCACAGGTTTGGTAGGTGCAATTGTACAGCGATAATAAGTAGAGATTATAGTAAAGTCATAGAGAGCATGAGAGTTAAAGGATGGAGTCAAGTAATGGAGTCAGACGCAATTCATGGTAGCATATCTCACCTCAACCCGGCTTGATGGTCCTCGTGGAGGGGGCTTTAGCCATCAGAGAAGAAGCCGCTGCTTCATCCTCCTTAGTCACCTTCTCCAGCCACCCTCCCGAGAACCAGGGAGCCTCCTTATTTATTGCTAACCACGCATCATAGAGTCATACATCACAGAAAGGGGCAATATAATTCATTCTAGAACAAGTTTGATCACTCTGGTGTCTCATATAATAAAACAGACAATTACTATTCTGGGAGGCATGCAAGTTCCCTGATAGTGGACAATAGAGTCACCAGGAGGGGTATTAACATAAGCAATACAATCAATAGGAGGAGAATCACCTAGGGGTGTGCCCACATTGGTTGTGGAATAAACAGTGGTGTCTGCTTGATGTAGACAGCTGATAATGACTATCTAACCTTGGTCACCCTTGGGCGGGTTTGCCCTCTCTGGTATCTCCTGCAAGTGAACAGACCACCATTATCCTTATCAGAAGGGAGTGGGTCTTATTTAGGGTGAGTCAGACTAATAGTCTAGCCACTATAGATGGCTGATGTTAAGGAGAATAACCTCTGACCTACTTTCGCTGATCACCTATTGTACAGTCACTCTAGTCTGGTACATATTTTGGGGAGACAACGTAAGAGAAATTCTTCTGTTCCTCACAAATCATCATTTTGGATTTACTATCATCTGATCATGAATTTGTATAAAAACGTGGTTTTTGAAGAGATATTTTTTCTCTAAGGATACTATGGAGTTCATGCGAAGTTTTCAGTCAGAAGCACCATTAAAGAGAGGAATTGTTTCTGCACAAGATGCCTCCCTTCAAGAAAGAGTGCTAGCACAGGTAAACACACCTATTTTGAAAGCTTTTAAGAAATGGGAGTGGTATAGTTCTTTTCTTTTATTAATTACTGAAAATAGGTTTTAATTAAAACATTAACCTTTTACTTTAACTAAATGTATATAGTATTACTGAACTCTGATCTCATCTTTCTCCACCCCCACCCCCACCCAATGGAGACCCTATTTTCTTCCTTTTGAACTTAGTTGCGAGCTGCCCTGTATGGTATTCATGACGTATTCTTTGTAATGGATTCAGCTGAAAGAATGTCTATTCTACAGCATGACCGGGAAGTTCAAAAAGAGAAAATGCTCAGGCAAATGGTATGCTACATGATTTTCTATTTCTATTTCTTTATTTTGCTACATGATTTTCTAATGAATGAGCTTTCTTCAAGATTTGGTGGTTGTGGTTGTTAATTTTCCATCAAATTGGCCTTAAATTCATGGTAACCCCATACACAACAGACCAAAACACTGCCCAGTCTTATGCCATCCCCATGATAAGTTGTGCATCAGATCTTTGTGGTCGACATTGGCTGATTCTTGGAAGTAGATTGCCAGGACTCTCTTTATAATTTATCTTCCTCTGGAAACTCTCTTGAAACCTGTTCGTGGTGACTGCACGTGAATGCATTGGCCTAAACTGACTGTGGGCCTCTCATGTGGAAGGCAATGACTTCTACAATTTAACCAGCACATAGGTCTGGGGTTATTGATACTAAATACCACTCTTTATTGACTTCCAAGTCCTCCCTACATCCAAACCTTCCCTATATTTATAAAATAAAGATAACTCCCAAGTTTACCAGCAACATTTAAATGTTGAGACATTTAAAAGAAATTGGGGTAATTGGGGTACATATTGTTTCCTATTGGATTTTGGAATTGAAGCTTGAACTGTTCCTTGGTTAGCTTATGAAAAACCATCAGCTGCAATAGATTGCATTTTCTTGACATTGTCTTGGAATATATGCCTTCTTTTGTCTGGAAGTCAGAACTAGGAAACAGGCTCTACATTAAGTAGAAATTTAAGAAAATGAATGTTGGAAGTCCGGTTGAATCAGTGTTTTTTGGCTGGTAAAAGAAAAACAAGCAAAATTTGTATTATTTCATTGGGAAAAATAAGTAGTGATTTGTTTAAAACGCAGTGCTTCACTTCACAAAAAAAACCTCACTACCATGCAGTTAATTCTGATTCATAGTGACCCTGCAGGACAGCGTCGAACTGCCACTGTGAGTTAGTTTCCCAGCTGTAATTTTTTACAGGAACAGAAAAGCCTCATTGTTTTCCTGCAGAGCTACTGGTGAGTTTGAACTGCAGCTAGCAGCTCAAGGCATAACTCACTATGCCACCAGTGCTTTCCTTACTTTACAAAAATTTTAAGTTAACGATATAGATGCTAGCACAGAGAAGCTTCTCTCTTAATTTGGGATCATCCTATCCTACGATACCAGGGTACTGTACTGTTGGTACTACTAGAGCTTTATGTTACATACATATGTGTTTGTTTCAAAGGATAAAATGAAAAGCCCACGAGTAGCTCTTTCAGCTGCAACACAGAAGTCTCTTGATAGGAAGAAATACATGAAGTAAGTTTTTTCATGTCATCCTAATTAATTATTAGTAAGCCAATTAATATAGTTATCTGTTGGTCTATTAGTATATTCACATTAGAAATAAAGGACAGTTAAGTTTTCCATAATTAAACTAGTATAAATTCATTTTTTTATAAAGAGATTAATTAAAATCAGATAGTAGAATCTAATGACTAAAATGTCAATGTTTAATTGGCATGATTGATTGCCATAAAAAAATCATAGAAACAGTTAATTCTCATATTCAGTGTTTAATTTTATTTCTTAAATATATTCTATTTCTGATAGCCAAAAGGCTTCATGGGAGGAAAAATTAATGGAAAGAATATCTTCATAACTATCTTTTTAAAAAGTCTGTGAAAATACTCTTTAGTAGGCTTACTGTAGATCTGTAAGTAGTGTACCAACTTTTTAAAAAAAATCATTTTATTGGGGGCTCGTACAACTCTTATCACAATCCATCCATCCATTGTGTCAAGCACATGTGTACATTTGTTGCCATCATTTTCAAAACATTTTCTTTCTACTTAAGTCCTTGGTATCAGCTTCTCGTTTTTTCCCCTCCCTCCTCCACCTTCCCTCCGCCATGAACTCTTGATAGTTTATAAATTATTATTTTTTCATGTCTTACACTGACGATGCCTCCCTTTACCCACTTTTCTGTTGTCCATCCCCCTGGGAGGGGGTTATATGTAGATCCTTGCGATCAGTTTCTCCTTTCTTCCCCTATCTTTCCCTTCCCCTCCTGGTATGGATACTCTCAATATTGGTCCTGAGGGGTTTATCTGTCCTGGATTCCCTGTGTTTCCAACTCTTATACTCTGGTCTAGTCAGATTTGTAAGGTAGAATTGGGGTCATGATAGTGGAGGGGGAGGAAACATGAAAGAAGTAGAGGAGAGATGTATGTTTCATTGGTGCTATACTGCACCTGACTGGCTCATCTCCTCCCCGTGACCTTTATGTAAAGGGATGTCCAATTGCCTACAAATAGGCTGTGGGTCTCTACCCAGCACTCCCCCTCATTCAAGTAGTGTACCAATTTTTAAAGATGATTTCCTCCTATCATTCTGTAGCACATTTCTAAGCCTGTTTTCCCCCTTCTCTAAATATATTGTTTTTGTCTTTGTATTGCATTAGAGCCACTGAAATGGGAATGCCAAATAAGAAAATTCTTGTTAAACAAAATCCTTCTGAAACAAGGTGAGAAAAACAACTCAGTTTCAAATGAAGGGTTACTTATTTTTCTTAAAAGGAAATTTATATAAATTCCAAGCTTCCTTTTGTTGGCTTTGTTCTACTTTACATCAAAAGAACATTCCCTACTGGGCTGGATGGTTGCGGACTCAGGACACACCTGCTCCTCTGGTCACATGTCAGGCCAGATGATGTTCATGGAGTTCAGGATATTCAATCTCTCTCAGAAATTTGAGCCCCTTCTCTCTTTAGTTCGCTCCACAGTCCAGGGGGTTCTTTGATACTGACCTGCTTTTCACATAAATTAAGTGATACATTTCTTTCTTAAATATTTGAATATATAAGTTGAGTTATGTAAAGATGATCATAAAGCATTTAAAAGCACAAAGAGTAATAACGTACATAGGACATCTCCTTCCTGATAACAACTTCAGGTTCTTGGTGAGCAAAATATATGTACCATATTAATATTCTTTAATGAATGTGGTTGCCTTTCTGGTAATAGAGGAACCACATGGTTAATAGGCCACATCATTGCACAAATGACTCCCACCTCAACTACTGAAAGAATACTAGGGGAAGATGGGATTTACTTGTTGGTTAATTTTTTTATTTACTTTGTCAACAGAGTCCTTCAGCCAAACCAAGGACAGAATGCACCTGCTCACAGGCTACTTAATAGACAAGGGTGAGGATGCCACTGAGACGGGTTTATCAAAATAATTCAGATCAAGAATAGCTTCGATAGGAAGAAAATAACTGTAGTGCTCTTTACATAAAGAATATTATTTTGCAAATGTGTTTTGTTTATAGTATTGGGAAGGTCCTTTCAAAGTTGTTTTCTAGGTTCTTTTGTCTCCAGAGACAACCCACTGGGCATACTGTTGGGTATTATGCTTTGGTTTTCGTCTTCCGTTGACTTGTTTTTACCATCCACTTCATATTGTTTTACGCATTATTTAAACAAAATCCCCATAGTAAGTTCATGAAAGTGACTATAATCGACTGGAGCAAAAGTTTATAGCTTCCTTACTGTGTACATGCATGAGACTTATATTCTTTTTTTATGCATTGAGGAGTTTAGACAGTGCGGTTGCCTTCTTTTAATGTTGAACATTTAGTCCCTAATGCAAGTGACTTAATAATTTTTTTATATTCAATTAGAACCCCTAAGACTTCAGTGAAGGGGGTTGTGCAAAATAGACAGAAGTCTTCACAGAGCAGAGTGTCTAACCGAGCGCCTGTGTCAGGTGTGTAGAAAACCATTTCCTGAAGCTCATTCCCTAGAAACAAGTGCACAAGCTGCCCCCCAACTCAGGCCACACTGTCGGGATCTAGGGTTTGTCTTTCCTTGCCACCTTAATTTTGGCATATTCACAATCATTCCTATTGGTAAACATTCCTGTGTTTTGTTGTAGTCAGGAAATCTTAGTAAGACTGTGGGTCTCCAGTCTTGATTTCTGTAACAATTTCATGGAAAACGGATTTTTTTTAATCCTAAAAATGTATAGTATTACTCAGGCTTAAATTTAAAAATAAACAACCCCCCAAACCACACGTTTTTATGAACAGTAAGATATAAACATCTGATACCTAAGCTGTTCAAAATGTGAATATGTCTATTCAGCTCTGGGGAAGTATATCACCCACAATTCTTTGCATGCGTATGTAGGGCTTGACAAATTCCTTCTTTTGACCACTAGATCACCTGTGAATATGCCAAGCGGGAGGGGTAAATTTGGTCCTTTTTTCTCCACACTAACCTTTTGCTCAATAAGAAACTTGAGCTAAGTCTGAGTGGTCATTATTTGAGGATTATAAGGACTGAATTTAAAAAGGTATAAAAATTGTACTTTTTGGTGGCCAGAAGACAAACTCCATGTTGAACTAATCCAAACCTCTTAATCTAATGCTTTAATATTTTCTATGCTCACTAAAAATTGCTGATCTAGTGAAAATACTTGGGAACGCTTTGCTTTAACTATACTGCTCTCTACACATTTAACAAAACACCTAAATTAATCTGTGGGCCTTGAAGATTAAATCTTTAATCAATTCTAATCTTCCCATTAGTACACAATTAAGTCTATTTAGAAAGTGTATTACAAAGCAATTCCCCAAAATTAGGAGGGAACAAACAACCTGGGAAATTTTTTTATGTTATTGATTATATTCAAAAAGAACATGATATGGATCATAACTGTGAAATGATTACTCACATTTTACAAGGATATAGTGATTATCATTCATAATGTTGCTGTCTACAGGATGTTGTAAAAGGTCATCATTTAGAAGTCACTTCAAGTGACAGTTAATGAAGCTGTCTGAAAGGGAATTACATTGCTAAAGATCCTGCTTTCTCCAGAGGCAGCCAGACCAGCTAGCTTGAAAGTTAAAAGAGCCCAGATGAAGCACTAGATGCTGTGTTTGTTTGTGAAGTTAGGTGGCATTTTCAGACATTGGAAAGTTTTTCTCATCTTAGTGTTAAATAATTGTGATAAATCATAGCTCATTGGCAAATTGTTGAAACTTAATATTTTTTTCTAACAGTATTCATTTGCCACTGTGATTATTCTCCATGTTCTTTTCTCATACATTTCATCTTGCCATTTGTCAGCCTTCAAGCCACATACCAGTAAGAGTTTTTGTTCAGTGCTTTTTGTCATTTGGTAATACTCAACAGTATAAAGGATGAACAGGCCGTCATTGCAGTAATAATGTGCAGTAGTTCCTCTAGAACTACTGAATTTAATTGCACTGCAATAATTATTAATGCAATAACCCTGGAATTAACATGTCCACCTAATACATATCTAAAAAAGTACCAAAATTCTTATTTTTCTTAAGATGTATTTATATATGAACACATATTTAGACAATTGCAAGAGACATGCTTGCTCATTCGATGTTTTGTGCTTGAGAGTTTATAAGGAAATCAGAAACCACTAGTTAAAACAGAGTGGGAGGTGGTATAATGAAAATGGTTACATAGAAGAACAAGGCTAGGGTCTCAGAATCTTTCCTTCTAGTGCTGCCACTTTGGAATTTGGCAAGTGATTTCTCCTCTGTGCCCATTTTATTATCCTTAAAATGGTAGTAGCATTTTCTACTGGTGGATTACTGTATGTAAGGATTAAATGAGATCATGTATGTTGCTTAGCTCACTGCCTAGTACACAGTAAGTGTGATGTCATCATAGAAAGACTTAACATTGAGAAATAATAGTACTTTTGCTCTATTTCTAGGAGTATATGCAGGAAAAATCCAAAGAAAGCGGCCAAATGTTGCGACAATTTAAGAAGACAACATTCACTAGGATAAGAAGGGAAAGCTACTCTTCATATTCATTGTCTCCGCCACAGACCCTGCCACATGAATGTCAGAGGGCGCGGTTTGCTTAATTCCTGTCCCACACTGCTCTCCAGAGCGGTTTGGTGGGGACAAGTGATTGCCACTTATCTGTGCTTAACCTGCACTCACATAAGCTTGTTTTAGAAGTGCAGATGTCTACGGAAATCCTTTTTCGGAACTTAAAGGACATTCGGTTTATTTTATAGGTTATTGAAAAGTTGTGACAAATTCTAACTAATTTCTAAACATAAATTTCATTCATCTCTACATACTAATTATTTACTTTCATAAACACATTAGATACTGTTCTAATCAAGGAGAAATTGCAGAAGAATTTCCCTCCTGATTTTGTAACTTAAAATACTGATTTGCCTTTCAATCTGCATATTCTTCGACTCACAGTATAATCATAGAGGATACAACTTTTGCCTGCTGGCCAAGGATGGAGCTGTGGAGTTGTGGGTTACCATAAGTACACATTCCTGTCAACAGCTAGTTGTCTTTGGAAATCATTGGTTTCACATAGATTACCCAATACCTCAAACTCCTGGTGAGCATTTCTGCTAGACTTTAAGCTCCTTTCTTCAATGGAGGGTAACAGATTGGAGGAAGATGGCACTGTCTTCTTGAATGTAGCCCTTAAGAATTCTTTGTTACATCTATTTCTGTAAATGAGAATGACATGTGGCATGCAGTAACATTTTCTATTTAGCCCACATATTTTGTATCTCTATAGTCTGCTTTTTCTAGCATGCTTGATTGAGGGGAGAGTAAAGGGCTATATAGGATAACAATTCAGATTTTCAAAGGGAGTAGTAATACTAAGGGACTTCAAAAAGTTGTGGCAAAATAGAACAGGTAATTGAATTTTTCCATGAACTTTTTGAAGCCCCTTCATATTATCTGGTTGAAATTCTGCATTCCTTAGCGCTAGTAATGATCACCTTTGTTTTTTATATCACTAGTATGTTCATTTAAAATATAAACTAACAAATGTTAACAAGTAGGATTTTATGAAGGAGAATGCCTCTACATCTTATCACACCATTTCCAAAAAGGGCTTTATGCTTCTCCCATAAAATTGGAATTGTGTACATTGATCTTTATAACTTGAATTTTGAAGAGATACTGGTATTTGAAAACAAAATTATAGACATTCTTAATATCCCTTTAAGAATATGGAGATAAAAATTGGTTTTTTTTTTCCCTTCAATTTTCTGGTCCACTTAAAATTCAGTCTTTGCATCCAGTTATAGACAGAAAGTAACCACTCTGCGTGTGAACTTGGTTTCCTTTATTGAGGTGTGCCATTGACTCAATGGGTAAACAGGAGCTTTAGAGGACAGACGACACGTGTGTACCTGGTTTAAAAATGGCAAAGTATAGCAGATCACATTTATTTGTTTGTTTGTTTTTGGTGACCCCGATGTGATTAATATAAGCCATGCTTTATCATTCTGAAAACTCAGGATATAGCTTACTCATATCATGGGTCTCTCCCATAAGAAAAGTAGATGCTAAAAGTTTTGTGTATGGTAATTAGCTGAAATAGATAGTGTTTTAGAGAACATTACAACTAGTTTTTGATTAAGGATGGAAAACGAGTGTTTTTTTTAAGTTAAACATAAAAAGCTTGTGTGTTTTACACATTTTTAATATTCATAGCTTTTTTTTTTCTCATAAAAGTGCCAGATACTATTTTGTGTTTTGGTGGAATTTTATTTATATGTTATTTTTATTTTTACTTTGAGTGGAATGTCCATTAATGTAAATTATATTTATTTTTATACTTTAATTTTCACTAGTTTTGCTTCTAGGCAAAAGGCAAAATAAACTTTTCATTTTAAAGGAAATCTAATTTGATCTTTTTATTTACCAAGGAAAGGGCTATTAATATTTGAAAGTATCTGGGAAAACCATAAATATTGTGATCTAATTTTTTACAGTTAAAAGTCTCATGAAAGTATATCCCACCATTTAATATAGACCTACACCACACTCACTATCTAATATACACCCTAAACCTTCTTTCCAATCTAGAGTGGAGGAGAAATCCCTTTGTCAGTCATTTTTAGGCCCAACAATCCATTTAAAGACTACTTCCATTGTCTGTTTAGTCTACATGATAGAAGGAGCCCTGGTGGTTTAGGAGTTAGGCACTTGGCTGCTAACTGAAGGTCCCAGGTTCAAAACCACCAGCAGAGAAAGCAGAGAACTGTGTGGCAGCCTGCTTTGGTTAAAAATGAAAGCTTTATAAACCCTATAGGGGCAGTTCAACTCCATCTGTAGGATTGCTGTGAATCAGAGCCAACTGGAAAATGACTTTTTTCTGTTCTGAGGATGCTGTGGAGCAAGGGCTCAAAGATTTACAGTCTCAGAAACCCTGTTGTAGGGTTGCTATGAGTCGGAATCCACTGGAGGGCAGTAGGTTTAGAAAGAGTTTTGATGAGTGGGTGTGTCTGACTATGTTTAAGAGCGTCGGATAACCTTCAGCCCTGTCCTCCCTAAGTATGAAGCACCCTTGCAGTTCCTTGTATATCACAAGGAGTCCCCCAGCCCAGCACTGAATAGACTGCATGTTCACCAAGCTCCCCAGGTGAGTCCTAAGCACAGTCAACTATTAGAGGCACTACATCATGATACAGTGAGGGTGGTGCTGTGGGTTACACACTGGAATGCGAACCATAAGGTCAGCAGTTGGCAAGCACCAGCCACTGCGAGGGAGAGAAAGAGTTACAGCCTTGGAAACCCAAAGGGGCAGTTTTACTCCGCGCTCTAGGAGTGTTCTGTGTGGAAATCAACACTGTGGCAGTGTGTTTCGATCACAGACAATAGATGGGAAGCAATTCTTTTGGCTGCTACTGAGTGCTGATGGTATGCCTGGCATTTTATTAACGCCTGCCTTTACCCTAAAGCCAGAATTATGCTCATTTAATAAATGAAGACACTAGGCTGCGGTTTAGCAAGTTGCTTCCGAGGGTTGAGGGTACATATGAGAGGATACTGTACCTTCGCCAGTTTCTGTCCAAAGAGGCCCCTGAGAGTGAACAGAAGTGCCTTGGTGCAGATCTGTCTCATAACCTCAAAGTGAATAGCCTCCCCTATTAGAATGATTAGCCCAGGAGTCACTATGGTTTGGGGTCGAGTTCAAATCCCAGCTCATGCATTTAGTAGTTTCTTCATAATAGGTGGTACCCACAAAACCCAAACACACCATCATCCACTGGTACTTATTACCATTGAGTCAGTTCTGAGTCACAGTCCCCAACTGTCGGATTTCCTAAGGCTGCAAATCCTTACAGGTCCAAAGATAATGGGGTTTCTGAGAAGTAAATATGAACCTATAAATCTTTACAGGAGCAGACCGCTTCAAGTTTGTGGGTTTGCTGTTAACCCAACGTTGCTGTTAGCAGTCCCAAACCTAACCCATCAGAGTTCCTGTAATGGGCGATCCCACCCGCCACTGCCATCGAGTTCATTTCTACTCATAGTGGCCCTATATATGATTTCTGAGGCTGTATGTCTCTACAGGTTAGCAGTTCAAAGCTTACTTGATTTCAGATCATAATAAAAAACTCACTGCCATAGAGTCGATGCCAACTCATGGAGACCCTAAAGGCCGGGGTAGAACTGCCCCTGTGGGTTTCCGAGACTTACTTTACCGGAGGTAGATTATCTTCATCTTTATCCTCCGGCTGCTGGTTTCGAACTGCTGACCTTGCAGCTAGCAGCCCAACATGTCAAGCACTAGCTTGTGACAGGGAGGCGTGATGGGGGAATGAAAAGGCAGGGAAAAAGAATAGTAGGACAGTTAAAAGTTTCGTGGTCCAAGTAATAGCCGCCTTCATAAAAACATGGAGATTTGCCAAGAGAGGTGGGGTGCTAACCCAGTTTTTCCACGTCCTGTAAGAGGTGGTCAGCGACAGGAGAAGCACTGGGCGTGCCCAGTCCGTGCGGGGCGGGGCCTGGGGAGGGGGCGTGGCTCGTCCCACAGCAGCGGAAGCCCACAGACAGTCGCACGTCCCCACCGCCCGGGTGCAGTTCTTTCTCCGCCTCTAGGGGGCGAGGCGGGCCGGACGCCAACTGCCCCTCACAAACATGGCGCCTCCGAGCTCCGGGGCCCGGCTTCCGGGCGGACGGCTGCCCCTCACAGTCATGGCGCCAGAAGAGGACGAAGCGCGGCTCTGCGGGGCGGACGGCTGCCCCTGACATGGCACCAATGGGTGGCGTGACCTGGGCTCGGCAGGATGGCCAGCTGCCCTTCGAGGCGCCTGTGTCGGAGGGCCTTGGGTGCCGCGGAAAGAGGCGGCTGCCCCTCACAAACATGGCGCCGCCGGGCGGGCCGTCCCA